TCACTTTTCATTAACACTCAAAACTACCTACCTTCAGGTGCAAACATCTTAAAATAAAAAGTTCCTCCATACTACTGGGATTGGTGCAACAAGAAATGGCTCCTTTGGCACTGATAGAAGTGTGTAACATTAGGTTTTACTACTAGTAGTGACATTAGGTGTTACTACTATATCAAATGCTAATCTTGTGCCATAAAACATTGTAGAACTTCATGATTAAAACACCATTAAAGCAAAAAGGAAAAAGGCTCCTAATATTTTCCAGCAGAGTAGTTCCCTGATCTACAAACTGTCAGTAACACTTGTTCCTTTCCACCCAGGGGTAACAAGAACTTCACATCCACTAACTACAAAATGTAATTTCACTGAGATTTCCAATTCCACTGTAATTTGTACGTTAACTTGGAACACTGCTGGGCAATAGTAAATAAAGTTTAATGCTGACAACTGTGCCATTTCCAAGCACCATCTCAAACGTACCAGGTGTGATGTGACTTAGCTTTCACGTACACCACTACTTTCACACAACGGTCAAGTTACACATGCAAGTGCACTGTACTACTTTGAATCAGATCCTGTGGTGACTGATCCAATGTCTCAAGTCAACAACACTGAGTTACTTGGATTTATTCTCACTGGGAATAATTATAAAGGTGATTCACTAATTTCAAAAGGTCTGGTTTGCTAGTAGCCAAATTTTAGTTCCATGTCACACAAATAAAATTCATTATATCATTAAGTGAACCCTCACATGACAGATGTAAGTTCAAATCAAACATGCATATAAGGCAGTACAGTGCTTCCATTAAAAGAATAGACATTTCAGGGATGTGTAATTCAGGCATCAAATCCATGCTCATTTCCAGTACCTGCAGATACTTCATTTCTGATGGAGAGTTCCAAGAAAGTAGGAAAAAAGCAAAAGTGAAGATTACTACAGTTCAAGATATCAAGGTATTTTCACAGCTACAGAACTAAGCATCACAACCCATTACCCTCTCTCCCCTTGCTAAAACACCTGAAAAAACCTCACTTGCCTGCATAGCATATTCAATTTTTATTAGAAGATGGAACACTGTGAGGGAAAGTGACTGGCTTCCCACCCAACCTATTCCTCAGCTTTGGTTTTGTTTCATGATAGAAGAAGCCTGCCCCCCCCTAACCTGCCTTTATCAGATCACAGCCACAGCCCAGGGGGCTCTAGCAGTCTAGCCTCAGCAGAGGAAGACTCCACCACCTTGGGCATCAGTCCCTCCAACCCCAAGGCATTCCACCTTATCTTTCTTTACACACTGTCCTCACTGCCTACACCACACATCCTTAACAAACTTACCTGGGTAAGGAACACCATACCAACAGTAACTTGGTGGAGTAAGCATTAGGGGTTTAGGCAGCCTGATTAACAAGTGTTAAGATTATCTCAAGTGTGTATTGCGAGACTGAGTTATGTGATTAGAGCAACACTGTTAGATTGATGAAGTTTAACAGTGACACAGAGGAAACAGTAATTTAGGAAGCATTGTTTCATGTCATATCAGCTAGGCTGGCAGCAGTGAGGAGCAAAACTAAGCTACTGAGCTGATGACAAGCTATACAACACAGAGTTTACCTTCTGTTATCCAGTAGAACAGGTGAAAAAATGTAAGAAAAACAACGTTATTCTGTTGTAGAACTCATAATCAACATTTCAATGGCATATGTTCACTCTAGTTTAAAAGATATTCTCATCCTACCTTCTTGCCAGCACCAACATTTGCCTTGGCTGTGCCCCTGACTTTCTTCATTCTGTTCTTACGCTCTTTTCGCTGCTTCCTGGAAGTCTTCTTCTTTTCATACAAGCCGTGCTATTAAAAACAGTTGAAAGTTGCTTTTAACATTGTTTCTCTACTAACAACTCTTGGAAAGTTCTACAGTTTCTGAAATGTTCAAATAAAGTTTACATTTGAAATATTAACTAAGTAGTGAGATCATTAACTAACGAATGATTCAACATAGAACATAAACATTGAAGAGGCACATGGATCAGCCCCATTTCTTATGCTTATTTTATACTTCAAATATAGCTTTGTTAAAAGTTACTGCTAAACACCTCTGGTATTACCAGTTCTTGCCTTCCCAATTCCCTAGCAATAGAGAATAAAAACACACTTCGCCTATTTTGCAAAGGCAGAACTTAACATGTGCTATTTTAGGAGCTCTCATACAACTGTACTTCACAAAACCTGAGTTTTTACACATGCAAATCCTGCTTTCAACACATGAGAAAACAACATACCCTGGCAAGCCTGTGCTTGGGTTCGTTTTTCTTTGCATAGTCCAGGGAATCATAGATCATGCCAAAACCAGTTGTCTTGCCGCCACCAAAGTGAGTTCTGAAGCCGAAGACGAAAATTACATCAGGGGTTGTCTTGTACATTTTTGCCAGCTTTTCCCTGATTTCTGTTTTGGGGACTGTGGCCTTTCCAGGATGAAGAACATCAATGACCTAAGAAAGAATTTAAACAACTTGATAAACGGTCAATGTCCAAGACACTTGAGGAGCACAAACTATAATTCATTTGACACAAAAGCATTCTGAAGAATGCTTCACTGAATTATTTCAAATGAAAAATACCTTTAAAATCATTAAATCCAGCAATAGATCCAAACCAGTCTCAATGTCACTAAGCCATGTTCTCAAGTGCTACATCTACATGTCATTTAAATACCTCCAGACAGGATGTTTTAACCACTTCCCAGAGCAGCCTACTCCAATGCTTAATAATCCTTTTGGTGCAGAAATTTTCCTCAACATCCAGTCACAAGCTGGTACAACTCCACCATCACAATTTACCTTGAGCATACATCAACACATTTAAACCCATACGCTCTTACAATTCCTTATTTAAGAACCCCAGAGATTTTAAGGGCCCCATATTTATAGCAGCCAAACCTTCTTCCAGCCCAGAACCACCAAAAAAATAAATGCAATTTTCTGTAGTCTTTTACCATCTGCTTGCGCTGCAGAAGTCTGTTGGTCATGAATTTCCTGGTTCGGATGGTCACTGTGTCATTCTGCAAGAGAAAACATGCAATAAAACAAAACAATAGCTACAAATGCAACAGAAGCTGAATATGAGCACAAATAATGCACAGTACCACAATGTTTAGGAGCCTCAGATATTGACAGTGACCTCACAATGTAAGTGGGCTTGTCCTGAGCCACAGAAAACACCGTTAAGTAATACAGGGAGAAACTGACAAACTCATCCCCAGGGTCCAAACAGCACAGCAACAGACACACCTTCACTACCATGAAAAGCTGACGCAGCTTTTAGTAGAAGACATGGATTTCAATCCCAAGTACTCCAACAATGCAACAGAGGCTTCCTCCTAAGCCCAAACGTTACTGCCTCTATGGCTTCCCACCTCTAAGCACAAGGGAGCACCCAAGATTCCTGGATGTTCTTGGTCAGTAGGTCCAGAAAAGCTTAGCCAGTTTTTTCAGTAAATGACATGCTCAGCATGGCACTTGGTGTGTTAGCACCGGACCTCAAAGTAAGGACATGAAGTGGGTGGGGGTAAAGCACAGGGTGAAAGGGGAGTAAGGATATAGAACAGAATGATTGACCATGCACTGCAACAGTAAAGAAGCTCCTCCTAATCCTCACGTCAAATTACCTGGGCTCGAGTACTACTGCCTGGCACCAATAAGCAGAACCTGGCTGCACCCTCTGATACACCCCTCCAAACACTGATAAGGCGGCCTTTCCATCACCTCTTCCGGAGCTTAAGACGTTCAGGTCTCTCAGCCTTTCCTCGCAAGAGAAATGCTCCAGTCCCCTTCCACTGGAACCACACCAGGAGCTTCATGTCTGTCCTGGGCTGAGGAGCCCAAAACTGGACATTCCTCTCTAGGTACAGCCGCACCACGGCTGAGAAAAGAAATCAGCTCCCTCGAGCTGCCTGCTATGTTCTTCCTGACACAATGTACAAGTCTCTCTAAAAACCCTGCATACCACTGCTTCCACAAGGCTTCCAGAGAAAAGCAAGCTGGATAATCGCGGGTGTGACCCACGGCAGCCCCCAGAGAGTGGCAGCGCACGGGCGCCTCGCTATCAGAGTACGGACACAGAGCGGCCCAACCCGCAGCACCGCCCTCACCCCCCAGCTCGCTGCTGCCGGCAGGCACAGAGGCGCGGCGGCTCAGCCACAGGAGCCGGGGCTCGGTGTCCGCCATACCCCCGCGGGCGGGTGCGGGCGGGCCGGGCCGGCACAGCGCGGCGGTGCGGGGGCGCGGCGAGGCACGGATGGCGCCGGTACAGGGCGGATGGCGCGGCTCAAACCAGGCACTCACCATGGCTGCCACTACCGTTCCTGCGACCGGAAGAGAAAGAGATCGACAACCCCTCCCAGGCCAATTATAAGGAGGCACAGACGTGCTTCCACCAGTAGTGGAACTGAGCGTGGCGCCGCCCTTTTTAGCGTCCGTCCTGGCCCGAAATGGCGATGGGCGTGGCTTTCGTGTGCCCTATAAAAGCGGTCGCAGAAAGCGCGTAATGTCGTGATGGGGAAAGGGTAAACTTCCTGTCTGCCGGCCAGCGCTTTTGGCCGGGCTCAGCCCCGCTGTGTGCTGTCGCTGTTGTTGGGCCGTGCGCGCTGGGGGTCCCGCCGCTGGTGACCTAGGGCTGCTGTGGGGACACGCAGAACCACGGACTGAATGTGGTGGCGCAGCCTGCCTGGGGAGTTGCTTGGGGCTCTGGGAGTTGGGCCTTTTTAGCCTCGGGAAGAGATGGCTGAGAGAAAGCCTCATTCGTGTGTGTAGAAAAGGAGGGATGTCAGAGAGCGGGACTGGGCTTGGCTCCGTGGTGCCGGCTAATAGGCCGAGGGGCGGTGTGCCGGCGATGCTCGGGAAGTTCCTCCTGAACACGGGGAGCAGTTTCTTCGCTGCGCACTGAGCGCCGGAGCGCCTGTGGAGGTTCCCTCCGGGGAGGTGTCCCCCGGTGCCGGCAGGGGGCGCTGCGGGCGGAGGCCGCGCTGACCGCCCCGGCCCAGGCCCCGCGTGCAGCCGCCCGGGCCCCGCTGCAGCCGCCGCGATGGTGAAGGAGCAGTTCAGGGAGACCGATGTGGCCAAGAAAATGTGAGTGGAGTCGTGCGGTGCCCGCGGGCTGAGGCGGGGAGCGGCAGAGTTGTGGGCGACAGAACCGCTGTAGTTGGAGCCGGCAGAGTGTTGGTGTGGAGGGCCGCGGTGAACAGCTCGTGACACGGCTGCTCCGCTCATCGGAGCGCTGCCACAGGCTGGGCTCTCCCACACGGGTGGCTGTGTCTGTGTCCAGCTAGGGGGATGCCCAGGAAAGTCGATAAGTCCCTCAGATAAAAACCACCAACTCACCGTAAAACAGTTTTATTTTTTATAGTTATTTGAAAAGATCCTGATTCAGCAATGTTTTGACTCAACCTAGCTACCTTTGTATTGTTTTAGAATGTTTTGGGGTCCTAAAAAGGGCAGCGAGGCTGCTGAAAGAACACCAGCCCTAGGGGAGAGCGTCTGAGTGAGCTGTGGTATTCAGCTTGGAGAAGAGGAGGCTTAGGGCAGAGTCTATCTCTTTTCTAAAACCACCTGAAAGGAGGCTGTCGCCAGCTAGGAATTGCTTTCTTCTTCCAGGCAACCAGTGACTGGATGAGAGTGCCCTAAGTTGCACTAGGGAAGGTTTAGATTGGGAATGAGGGACAACTTTGTCACAGAAGGGATGTTGGAGCATTGAATGGTCTGCCCAGGGAGGGGTGGAGTCACTGTCCCTGGAAGTGTTTAAGGAAAGCTCAGATGTGGCACTCAGCGCTGTGGTCTAATTGACAAGGTGGTGTTTGGTTATAGGTTGGGTTCAGTGATCTCTGAGGTCTTTTTCAACCCAGTTGTTTCTGTGATCACTTGCATGTAGGTGTGCTTGTCATTATAAGTAGTTTTGCATGTGTGTGTATATATATCTATATGCCTATATGTATGTTCCCATACATATATTTGACATTTCTTATCTTAGAAGCCACATCTGTTTTGGCATGAAGTCTCCGGAAGAGATGCGTCAGCAAGCTCACATTCAAGTGGTCAGCAAGAATTTGTATAGTCAGGACAACCATCACTCTCCGCTGCAGTATGGAGTGCTGGACCATCGCATGGTGAGGACCTTTCTCTTGTTTTCCAATCTCTTTCTGGGGAGTTGCTCAAGTGGTTAAAAAAAGGTTGGGGTCACTGAAACATACTGTTTGTCCAAAGTGAGTTCAAATGAGTCTTTACTTGAATTTCATAGACTATTAGTTGCAATGCCAGTTACTATTTTTACAGTTTTGGTGGGCAGGAATGCACTCTCTTGAGGCAGGAAGTAAGTTACTTTTCTGCCAAACTGCTGGGATACACAGAGGCATGTGTCATCAAAATGCCACAGTGTAGATTTTAGTAATCTGTAAACAATTTCTAAGTAACAGTTTGTGAACAACTTGTAAGAGCTGCCTGAGTCCAGGTCATTGTTGTCAGCAGGGGCTGTGTGTAAAACCCATTTTTCTTAAGCGTCAGAGTGACTGTAGTGCTATTGCTGTGCTTCTGATGCTGGGGAAAAGGAGTGGCTTTGCTACTAGGATTCCTGACCAGTTTTTTAACTGCTGTGTTTTGTATCTATCCTATCAGTTACAGCTAACTTTTTTCTGTGCGTGTGTGTTCTCTTTCTCCCAAAGGGAACCAGTGAAAAAGACCGTCCGTGTGAAACCTGTGGCAAAAGTCTGGCTGACTGCTTAGGGCATTATGGGTACATTGACTTAGAACTACCATGCTTTCACGTTGGGTACTTCAAAGCTGTGATAGGCATCTTACAGGTAAACATGATCATGATTTCCTGTCAGTTTCTGGTCTAAAAAAGGAAATTTTCAGTAAAGACAATGCTTGAAAGTAGTTGAGAAGGCCAAAATAAGGTTCCTTTGTGAACCTATCTGTGTACATTTTCTTTTGTAAAATACATGTATTTAAAGACCAGTCTTAGTGATGTTCTATGTAATCTCAGATTGAAACATTCTGTTGTTTTTCTGCAGTTTGAGTTAAATATATGCAGGATAATTTTCCTTTCAGAACATCCAAGTAAATCAAAGCTCTGTTTGCTTTATATAAATTCAAGGCCCTACAGAGCTTAGCTAATTGTTGGATTTTGGGGCTGTTTAGATGGTCTGGGAAAAGCCCAAGATGGCCTTGGGCCCCCGGGTTCGAAAGGACGAGAGGAAACTTCAGATTTTTTCTCGGTCTCGGTGTTTATTAATTGCTTATCTAAAAGATTTTCTCTTGGCCTGACAGAGTTCTGCTCAGCAGTCAGCCATGGGCACACACTGAGAGCCCCTGGGGCGGCCACCTATCTTTATACCCGGAGTTACGTATACAATATTTATCATTTTTCTCCAATACCCTCTACCCTTATTAACCAGTGCACTTTTAGTAAAGACCAATCCCAAAGTGCCAACATCACCACAGAAAATGGAGGCCTAGAGGAAGAAGAAGAAGGAGAAGGGCACACCCCAATTCCTCCATCTTACCTCTCTAGACCCCCCTGTACAGAAATTTTAAACCCTGTATCTCACACTCCAATTAACTTATCCCTTCACCATTCACCCCGGTGAAATCCTCCTGTCCTCATACTGATGTCATCTCCCCTGTGGGATCAAAGTCCAGCCACCAGACATTTCTGGCAACATTCCAGGACTCCCGAGCCCCCCAGGGGTGGTCTCGTTCACCCTGCACCCCAGTTCTGAGAGACTGAGATCCCACAGCTAATGATTTGCCTTATTGACTGTATTTTTCTCATGTGCTTGTTAGTGTATATTCCAGTATGTGATTTGGTCTTCTAATCAAGACAGTGGTATCTCATTCAAAGAAACGCACTGTGTTGAAGAACTTAAGCTGTAGTTCTGGATGTTACATCTCTGAATGTGTCTCTTAAACAACTTACCTTTAAGATGATCTGCAAAACCTGTTGCCGCATCATGCTGTCAGTGGAAGAAAAAAAGCAGTTTTTAGATTACCTTAAACGACCTGGCCTTACGTATCTTCAGAAGAGAGGGCTGAAAAAGAAAGTGTCTGAGAAGTGCCGAAAGAAAAACACTTGTCCCTACTGTGGGGCCTTTAATGGTGAGTATCAACATGAGCAGTTTGTGATGTTATCTGCTCTGGTGGTTTTCACCTTGTGATAGGATCCAAATCTTGAATATGTTTGTTCATTGTGCAGCTAGTGGGTGTTCTCTCTGGCCTTCATTAAGAAACAGGTAATTGCATTTTTAGAGCCAGGCACATCCTTGTTAAACCTCATTTGTGTGGATACTGACATTTTCCTAGTTGCTTGTAGTATTTCATGTTTCATGTTGTAACCAATATTTGATACTTCAGTCATGACAAAAACACCCCTTTTAATGTGTTTTTAAAAATATTGGGAGCTATTGGCAATGATGAATATGTTCATAGAGAAGTATTGATAGTATTTGTAATTTTCAGTGAGCATCATTTTTCATCACTGAAGTCAATTGTCTTAAGATTATTCCTTCTTCAGGGCAGAGTATTTTTGTAAGAGTTTGTATGTGGTTTTCAAAATAGGTCTTGGTTTTTTTCATTTACACTGATCACATGCTACTGCTGTTTAAGGACTTGGTTTATTGCAGGTTTATAGTAGATGGTTAATCCATAACTTAAGTTCTAACTCTTGAAAATTGTGGGTTCTTTGCTGAAATCTTAAGCAACTCAATAAAAGTAGAGCTGTTTTATCCTAGGTGCCCTGTCTACACATAGGGGCATAAACAGTAGGCATTTAGAAAAGTTACATAATGGGTCAGAATACTTCAGTGAAACAAACTGAGCATTTGGACTTGTCTGTGCAAATTTCATGAATCATGTTAGCTGCATGACATGAAAATATTTCAGATTTTTCTTATAATTCACTTCCAAAATACTTCAGAAGATACTGGTAAGATACATAAATTGCACTTCTTAGTCCTGTTTTTAGTGTGGAAACTTCTACTTTAAAAATATCTGCTGTGAATGAGATGAAGCTGAATTAAAGGTGTGGTCTAAACCACCTACTTTCAGCCTCAGAGGCTGCACCATCATGTAGGTACACCAAGCCATCCATATAAAAAGGTATAACTTGATTGTCCTTTTGTTGTTCTGAGTTTAGGAAGCTGGTTAATAAAGCTGATAAGGTTTTATTTTTTCTTATGTTCACTGAAGGTTTAGCTTGTTTTAGAACTGTAACTTAAGTTTTGGTGGTGTTTTGTGTTTTTGTGTTTTGAAATAAAATCCCAAGGCAATCTATATTTAATTCCTTGCAGGAACGGTGAAGAAGTGTGGTTTGTTGAAGATAATACATGAAAAGTACAAGACAAATAAGAAAGTTGTAGATCCAGTAGTATCTACTTTTCTCCAGTCCTTTGAAACTGCCATTGAATATAACAAAGAAGTGGAGCCCTTACTGGGAAGAGCTCAGGTGAATTTTATTATTTACCTACATTTTTTGCTCTTTTTTTGTGCATGAAATAAAACTCCTTAAAGCCTTGCAATGTATCAGCTCAAGTCTTGTGATGACCCAAGAATTTTGTATCTCAAAAGATGGATGAAGAATGTTTGTATCCAGTGCAATAATGTTAATTTGCTAAAATGAGAAATTTAGTATATTAGCATGTTCTGGTACACGATCATCTGCCTGTAAATAAAGTAATGTTCTCACTGTGCTGTGCTTCTATAAACTAGAACAGGAAGAAGAAACACAGGTCCATATGAAGTTTGCATGTGTATATAGGTTTACTGTAAGACAGGTATTAATTCCAATGCATGCATTTTTTTCTTCAGAAGTTCTTAATGTTGAGAAAGAGCAGACTTAATTTGCTATTTGTTTCATTAGCTGTTCACTGTATTCAGTTTTGTTTCCTTCTGCTCTTAGCAAGCTGGAAAGATCTCCAGGTACATACTTGGATGGAAAAAGTAATGAACACAGCAGTAGATGTACTAACATGAGAGAAATATCTAGGTAGTACTGTAATCATGTGATTTTTTTACTAATGAAATGAATACAATATGCTGTAAGTTTGTTGTAGGATATTAATTGAGTTGCTTTCTCTATTGACAGTGAGATACTCTCCATTAACTCTTGAGACAACAGAGGAACGCACTAGGAAGTAAACATGCAGATATAGGGGAAAAATGGAAGGAAAGGATATATAGCAAGCTAACATTTGAGATGCTAGAAACATTGGTTCAGAATAAATAAACCAAAACATAGTTTTGTTTGCATAAATAGTTCTGTATTTGCCTTTGAAAATGGTTATTTCTGAACATCAATAAAATAAGGGGAGGAGGGAGGCATTGGAACTTGATACGATGGCTTCATGTCCTCATTTTCCCAATGGGTTTTGTAGGAAAACTTGAATCCTTTGGTAGTATTGAACCTCTTTAAAAGAATCCCAGTGGAAGACATCCCTCTACTTCTAATGAACCCACAAGCAGGTAAACCTTCAGATCTGATCCTCACACGGCTCCTGGTGCCTCCACTGTGTATCAGACCCTCTGTGGTGAGCGATTTGAAGTCTGGCACCAATGAGGACGATTTGACAATGAAGCTGACAGAGATCATTTTCCTCAATGATGTGATAAAAAAGGTGAGTCAGCCTTCACCCTCTGAGACTGCTGCCTTCAGAAAGATTTGTGTGGGATTGAATATAGCTAGTGGGTTTAGTGCTTACAATCTGGTGCTGTATTTCTATGTCGTTGGGCATTTTGCTGAGAGACAGGAGCAGCTTACTTCAGATGGGACTGGCTGAGTGGCTGCTTGCAGTGTAGGACCTGCTGAAGGTCTGCTGGGTTCTTATGAGAAATGTTTTTTCATTTCAGCTCCGGTCCGTTTACTCTTTTTTTAATGTTTTCTTTCTTTTCCCTCTCCCATGACTGTCATGCTTTTTGCATAGTTGCTTACAATGAAAATATTACACCTATTGATTTGTGTTGTGTTTTTTTTTTTCTTGTAGATCTTCCTCCTTTCTTACATCTTTGTGCTTTATTTATTCCACTATCTGATCTTGAGAAATCAGGTTTCATTTAGCGTAGCCATCAAATTGAGACTAAAAGATGATTTGATGTTGTGTCTTTTGCTTAGAAGAGCACTTCTACCAGAATAATACTTTTCACACTTTTCAAAACTGTTCCTTTGTCAGGCAGACAAAATGAATTGAATACTAACTCTTCCATGATTGAAAAACTATTAACTGCTCATTTTCCTGTCAGTTAAGTTATATTAGCTTAAGTGGATTGGGAAAAATGTAATTAAAAGAAATACCTAATTTTATGAGCATTTGCTCAAAGCCCATATTAGTCAAAAGATTTTTTTTTGCTGGGTTCCCTTGTGGTGTGCCTTATGCTATAGTAATTTGCATCATCTTACAAAGTTATTTTCCCTTTTTCATTCCAATTGATGGAAGCTTCATGATATTTGCAAAGGAAGAGTTGTAGTCATAGCAGAAAATTTCTTGTCTAGTTAAATATATGTTGTTATATTTATTTTCTGAATTGGATTACTATTTTGTTTAGCATAGGATATCAGGAGCCAAAACACAGATGATTATGGAAGACTGGGATTTTCTTCAGCTGCAGTGTGCCCTGTACATTAATAGTGAGCTCTCTGGCATACCCCTCAACATGGCACCTAAAAAATGGACCAGAGGTTTTGTTCAGAGACTTAAGGGAAAGCAAGGTTTGTCTAAAAAATTGCTTTTAATAATTTTTTTAATAATTGAACCACAAATCTTTGCTATTGCCAAGTCTCCTTCTGCTACTGCTGTGTTCCACCTCAGTGCTGTACCTTAAATGATGCTCTGATGTCCTGTCTTAATATATAACATTTTGAAAGCTATTTATATTTAAAGAGTTTCAACTGTTTTGTTAGGTCGGTTTAGAGGCAATCTGTCTGGAAAGAGAGTGGATTTTTCTGGCAGAACAGTCATTTCACCTGATCCTAACTTGAGAATAGATGAAGTAGCAGTGCCTATTCATGTTGCTAAAATATTGACCTTTCCTGAAAAGGTAAGTAGTATGACTCAAAAACTTCTTCTATTCCATTTTTTTTCCCTAAGTCAGACCTTGATGTTGTTTCTTTACTCACTCTAAAAGGGTATGAATGTACTGCATTATGTTGGAAATGCCATTTATTGATGCTTTGCCAGTTCTCTTGCTGCTGGCAAATAAAGATCTGTGGTATTGGATATAGGCAAGTGCTGGCAAGATGTGGTGAAAGGAGTGACATCTCTACAACTAAGACTTTTGCTTCGTGTTTTTTCAATTCATTCACAGATTTGTATCAAGGAGTGGATGGGTACTTTTATTTCTAAGTTTCCCTCCCAGATTTTTAATTTAATTCCTTCTGATATCCTGCTCTAAGATAGGCTGGTGTTTTTCTCCTCTATTCCTTCCTGTGAGTTCCCCTCAGCAGCTGGAGGCTGTGTAAGAGGATTGTCAGTTGAGCCTAAAATTTGAGAATACAAAAGCCATCAGTAAAAACAAGATGCTGAAATATGTTCTGCTTGTTTCTGATTGAAGTCTTTATGCAACAGGTGAACAAAGCAAATATTAATTTTATGAGGAAACTTGTCTGCAATGGTCCTGATGTTCATCCTGGAGCAAACTTCATACAGCAAAGGCACACCCAAATGAAAAGGTATTTTGCTTATCTGTAATGATTCACTTTTTATTTCTCCCCATCAGTTTGTTCTTGTTGGTATACAAAGGCAGTTATATCTGCAGAGATTAAAATTTATTTTTAGAACCTTTCATACAGGGCAGTAGAAAAAGAATTGTCTTTATGTTCTCAGGTTTATTGTACCAGTTTTTAAAATAGTCTCTTGCATTTAAACTAAAGTGCACGTGTACTAATGATGTTGAACTGCAGTTATATTATTTTATGTTTGAGTTGATCTTAGCTGAAATGGAGGGTATAGTACAGACACAAGTGAAAACAGGTGGTTTTGGGCAAGTTGTACTGGCTGTTTTCATGTGAGAGCTAATCTAAAGTCAGTTTATATGTAGGAAGGAGGGGTAATACATGAATGAAACTTCCTATACTCTGATAGAATTGAAATAAATTCTGTGCACTTAAAAATGGACTTTTTTCTTTCTTAATGCTTAATCACTGTAGCTTTGTTGACTAATGCCAAAATAGGTTCATTGCTTAAAATAGCAGTGATTGATGTTCAGTCCATACCAGTTTTGTTTTCTAGTTATTGTAATACAAATACTCCAGCGTTTAATGGAAAAGTTGGCATTATAAACACAGAATTTATTTTTAGTTGTCTTTGTTTAGTGTCTGTGTATCTTCTGACTGCATGGTTCTCTCTTCCTATGAAGGTTTTTGAAGTACGGGAACCGAGAGAAGATGGCGCAGGAGCTGAAGTTCGGTGACATTGTGGAGCGCCATCTGATCGATGGTGACATCGTCCTGTTCAACAGGCAGCCCTCTCTGCACAAGCTGAGCATCATGGCCCACATTGTGAGTGCCCACAGGCTGGCACAGACAGTGCAGCCTGCAATGCCAGGCACTTGGCCTTTATGGTGTTCCTGTCTTACACAAGCAAAAATCAACAGCTCTTGCTGAAACTGTGTGGAGCGAGGATGAATGCAGTGCAGTTGTGCCTGTGCCTGGGACCTGATGTGTACCCAGGCAGGGTGCTGTATGCACACTTCTTCCAAGAGCCATAGTTGACCTTGCTATGTCTTCTGTGAACATTTCATTTTTGTGGAGTTGAGGTGATCTCTACAAAGCATGTTGTCTTCTGTGCTTTTATAAATATTTCATAATGAAAATTATTAGCTACATTTCTATAATATAATCTGAATACAATTTCTGTCAGTTCCTGCTGAATCAAATCCTATAATCAGGAATTTTGATTCATTTTTGTAATATAAAAAGGAAGCACTTGAGCATGGCTTTTTTTAGCCATGATTGACTGTGTATACCTAATTTTTTTTTTCCTTTTCCAGGCTAGAGTAAAACCTCATAGGACATTCAGGTTCAATGAGTGTGTCTGTACACCATACAATGCAGACTTTGATGGAGATGAGATGAACCTTCACCTTCCTCAGACAGAAGAAGCAAAAGCAGAAGCACTTGTTTTAATGGGGGTGGGTAGATAAAATGCTCATGTTGGAATTTGGCTGGGGACAGATGGGCTGAGTCCTTTAGTTCTTAACTTGCATGTGAAATCTGAAATACTATCAAGATTAGTGGGTGTGGATAATTTCCAGCTTTGAAGCTGAAAACTCTGCAAAAACCACTTTAGAATAAATTAGGACTGTTACACCCTGGTAATCAAATAGCCTTAGGTTAAACATTTGGGGAAATTGCAGTATAGGTAGATGTCATGAGTATGCTTCTGCCTGACTGTCCTTAGAGATGGCTACCAGGGTGGCTCTGTTACCAGCAGATCCATCATTTGCTTCTGGTCTGACAGCCTAATTGCAGGTAGATGGACCAGCTGGAGATGAGGTGGTGATACTGGGCTTGTACTGGAGAGTGCAGCTTCCCAGAGAAGGCAGGAGGGAGTGGGCTCATAGAGCAGGTCAGAAAGGCAGAAGGGAGGGGAGATAATGATCTGATGGTTGCAAGCTTTGATCTGTGGTGTGAGTAAGTAGCAGCTAGCTAAGGGTTTACCTTACCAATCCATTGCTCCTTTAGCATTACCAAATGCTACTCTCAATTCAGGTGTACCCATACAATTGTTGGCTGTGGCCTGTTGGAGCTCACTGAACTGACTTGTGAGCTTAAGAACACCCCCAAGTGATTCAGGTCTATGTGGGAATGGGTTCAGGCAAAACTGCTCCATGGGTGGGGGTGATGAACTGGAACAGTAGTTTGAGTAAAACAGAAGATCATGGGGCTAGAGGTGGCTTTGTTGTTACCCATAGGAGGGATTACATCACTTGCAGTATTGCAGTTGATCCCTGTAGTGAATGTAACACCCCTTGTCCTTTCCCCTGTTCTCATAGCTAGTTTGTCTCCCCTTCCCTGTCCTACCAAAACACATCAAGTTGTTTGCCACTTCTGTTTGGAAACAGAATATGCAATTTCCAGTAACTTTTCTCAGACTATTCCTTAGCTGTCAGTAGAAGTGCATGGATGGAGGTGAACTGAAACCTCTGACTTCTTTTTTCCATCTTTTTGAGGAAAGCTGTAGTTCAATTTAGAATAAGCTTTGACCATTTCACCATAAAATAAATGTCTTAAATGGTAGATTCCATTTTAAATAGCCAATGGAATATCAGTGTCTTCAAATGCATAACATCATTTTGTGTCATGCAGACTAAAGCAAACTTGGTAACACCTAGAAATGGAGAGCCTCTTATTGCTGCTATTCAAGATTTTCTCACAGGTGTGTATGAGCTGGTTTCAGAGCTGTGTTATCTAACAGTCGTTCCTTCAGAATTACTTCCCTTTTTCAGAGATTTTCTATATTAATTAAAAACTTCCATCTTTCACAAGTCAAAGTAACATTATTAAATAGGGCTGTTGCTTTCCTGGAAGATAATGATGCCCTCAGAGTAATTTCTGATGTTGTCTACCTTTGTAGCTGCTGTTATTACTACCTTTGAGTGTGTTTTTCTGCAAATGAATGTTTGACATCTTTGTGTGCATTCAGTAGACAATGTAAACTGCTTATGATTATGGTAGAGGAGTTGATTTCACTCCATAACTATTCGCTTTAACCTCCAGTATGTACCTTAATGTCTTTAATTCTTTAGGAGATGTTCAATGAACATAAGGAAGAAAGTGTACAAAAACAAATGCTGAGGCCTTGTTTAACTTAGGAAATAGTCTGAGATCAAGAGAGTAAGTTATAGAAATAGTTCCTAAATGTTCCTAATTTTTAGATATTTAGTGTGGAGCAATTAAACAAAATTCTGGAAAGGATTTACAACTAAAGCTGCCTAAACTATTGTTGTTTTCCATAGTAAGTAGCTGATTCATATAAGAATGAAATAATTAACACTGAGTATGCAATGGCTTTTAAATTGAATCTAATTTCAGTCTGTCATAATACTTTTTTCATTCCAGGTGCTTACCTTCTTACATTAAAAGATACCTTTTTCGATCGAGCCAAAGCCTGTCAAATTATTGCATCTATCCTGGTTGGCAAGGATGAAAAGGTCAAAGTTCGCCTTCCACCCCCAGCAATTCTGAAGGTGTGTCAAACTATTTTTTTCATGTTACTAAGGTTTTCTTTATTGTGTGTTCTTGACCCACAGTGATGCTACATGAGTCTTTCAACTCCTAAAGTTTGAAATCAAAGGTACTTTATAAAGAAGAATTATGAATGTTGCACCCTCTTTCAGAAATAAAATGACAGCAGCATCTTTGAGATTTTTTGCCTTTTCTAGTTAGGAAGGGGAACATGACAGTTAGAGGGAGCAGTAGGGCATGTTTGTCTGAGTGCATGCTCATACCCTGTTGTAAAGGATAACCATTCAGCACCCAGGAGGTTCAAATATATTAAAGGGGATGTGTTTAAAAGGAATGCTACCATGCATTTCTACAAGTATGATTCTCTGTAGACTTGTTCTGTATGTCAGGCAATTTTACAATTAAATTCTTGCTTGCTCTTTTTCTGTAGTCTTAGCATAAACTTGTAATCTTTATTCTTCTCCTTCTGTTTCTCTCAGCCTGTAACACTCTGGACAGGAAAACAGGTTTTCAGCCTCATCCTCAAACCCAGTGATGATTGTCCTGTGAAAGCCAACCTACGAACCAAGGGCAAACAGTATTGTGGCAAAGGGGAGGACCTGTGCTACAATGATTCTTGTGAGTGACACTTCTAAAGCAGTGTTTTGCAAGTTCTTTGCAAGTCAAAGAAATCTTAGAAATTATTGAGCTTCCTGTAGGCATTGAAGCTGTACTTGACATAAGTGTTCTTGAAATGAAAATAAGATCTTGCAGTTTTTCTCAAGACTTGAAGTGTATTTTCTTAAACTGAAAGAAGAGTTTTGTATGATGCTCAGTTTGTCATGGTGCTAAATACCTTTTGAAGGTGAGAGAGAGGAAAGCGAAGCTTAGGAAGTGCTTCAGAGGGCAAGTGAAATTTAGTCTCTTGATGGGGGGTACTAATGCAGGGATTAGAAGTCAAACACTGTAAGGAGATAGAACATGCAGGGAAGATAAATCCCTGGGATATCAAACCATCCATGTCCTTCCACTTACGGATGTCAGTGGCAGATGGAATGCAAAAAGCACCATGGTTGAAAAGGCTGTAGAGGAAGACTTTTCTTAGAATTAATTTAGTATTCATGTGGTGACTGTTGGAAAGGAACTTGAGCAGGCAGGCTTAGGCTGGTTCCTTGCTGCTCACAAGTGTAAGTTGAGGAAGCATTGATTTACACTAATTCTGTCATGCAGTGTTGCCTCAAGAAAGAATTTCCCAGTTAGCACTGAAGTCCTCTCTACAGATGACGGAGTGGTTTCTGCAGATGAAAGGAACACTGTGCTATGAAGTTGGTTGTAAACATGGTGGAACAAATTTTTTAAGGCTCTAAATATTGTAGGACAGAAGGCCACAAAGCAATCCTGCTCACACTCCTGTGAACAAAAGACATTGACTTTCACAGTCTATTAATTTCATAAAATACGGGAAGAGTCCATTTTCTGAGTTTAACAGGAGCACATGATGTTGAAAACTTGCAGGTTTTTTTGTTGGCTGCTTTCAGTTCTCTGAAAAAAACACATTTCTGCAGACAGAGTAATTCTGAAAGTCCTCTGCAATTTCTCAAAAGTCTCAAGAAAACCTGAATTGTATTTTGATTTGATATTGTAAGTGATAGAGCAGTGACTTGTGCTTCAAGAAGATGATACCTAAATTCACGTTGAAAATTCTGAGCATGGACAGAGCTTCTATTTCAAAATTCTCTCCATAAGTGATTACTAATGGGTGGTGAGTGTTTTAGAAAACTGGTGAATTCTTTTTGCCTTTTCATTTCTAGATGTCACAATTCAAAACAGTGAGTTAATGAGTGGCAGTATGGACAAAGGAACCTTGGGGTCAGGATCCAAGAACAACATCTTCTACATCTTGCTGAGAGACTGGGGCCAGGTGGAAGCTGCAGATGCCATGTCACGTCTGGCCAGACTTGCTCCAGTCTATCTTTGTAAGTACATTTCCCTGTAAAATAATACTTCAATACAGAAATAGAGAGCAAGCAAGATTTTTGCTTCAAATGTGACATCCTGTGCTTTTAAAAAAGTATGCTTGTTTTGAAGGTGGGAGACATTAAAACAATTATTATTGTGTTTATGAAGTGCTTGTGATGGTCACATGATGGGAAGCAAAATTGAAAGTTGCCAATAATATTTCCTGGGTTTAATTTGTTTTCTCTATATGAGATTGAACTATGATTTTTTTTTTCTTTTTAATAATAGCTAATCGTGGCTTTTCAATTGGAATTGGTGATGTAACCCCTGGGCAGGGACTGCTAAAAGCTAAGTATGAGCTTCTGAATGCTGGCTATAAGAAATGTGATGAGTATATTGAAGCTCTGAACACTGGCAAGCTACAGCAGCAGCCTGGTTGTACTGCAGAAGAGACACTAGAGGTAAAATTTTTAATTAAATTCACTCTCCATTTGGAGTAGAGGCTTCACAAATACATTCTTGTACATTGAAAGTCTATGGTTGTCTTCTCAAACCTTGAAATACAAGCAAATACAGTCCCTAGGCATGTAACTTGAGCTGAGTCTGTACAGGCTTTAGATGTTTGTATGCATCTTAAAAAGCTAGCTTAACACAGAACAACAGAAATCCTCCAGGGTGTATTGGGGTGATACTGTAGAATAAAATTACACAGGTAATTGGAATGAGTTAATTACATTGATCAAGATTTTCGTGGTTATCTTCTGTGCAGCACTGTGTGACTTAGAGCTTAGTGCAATGCTCAATTTAGCTGATGTTTCTGATGTTGATAAGAGATTGTCATGTTCTTGGATACCCCTGTCTTATCCAAACCAAGACATTTTCTTCAGCAAACTGTAAGTTAGGCAAGCTGAAATTTAAAATTGTTTTACCTGAAGCAACAAATGGGTTTCTTTGTCTTCACTGTGTTTTGCATTCCCTTTTACTATTGAAGGTGTTGCTGGGAGTGATAGAGTTCTGTTAGTGTAAGTGTTTTTTAGCAAATTCTGAACCTCTGAAATACTGTATTTCAGGCTTTAATCCTTAAAGAACTGTCTGTTATCAGAGATCATGCTGGCAGTGCCTGTCTCAGAGAACTGGACAAGAGCAACAGTCCCCTGATCATGGCTCTCTGTGGTTCTAAAGGTAGGGACAGCTGAACTTGGCGAGTAGGTTGCTCACTCCTTCACTTATGTGGAACTTTGTTCTTCCATCTTTATAGTTGGTTTTATACTGTCAGTTTGCAAGTTCATGTCATAGCTGTTTCAAGTGGTTAAGTACAGTTGGATATAGTTAAAGTCAAGGAGATGTTCTGCTATTCTTGTGTCTTGATTTTTAGTGCAAGTTGCAAAATATCTTGTTCTTAAGACTTACTAATTAATCAGTTAAAAGTTTTCAGTTGTGTTTCTACTTCAAGTATTTATATCACATAGAAAAATCAACAGTAAATGGTACATTCAGAATGGGAACTAACGTTTTGTAGAATCATGGAATTATTTGGAGGGGACTTGAAAGATCATGTAGTTCCAACCCCCCTGCTGCGGGTTAGGATGCCTTCTACCAGACCAGGATGGGGCATCCACAGCTTCTCTCAGTGCCTCACCACCCTTGTAGAAAAGAGTTTCTTCCTCAGGTCTAATCTAAACCTGCCCTCTGACAGTTTGAAGTCATTCCTGACAGTTTGAAGTCATTCCTCCTGTTCTATCCCTACATGCCCTTGTGTAAAATCCCTCTCTGTCTTTCTTGTAGCCCCTCTTAAGGTACTGGAAGGTGCTATAAGGTCTCGAATTCTTGTGTGAGTTTTCATTTGTTTCCTTTAAGAACTTGAAGAAGTCACTTTTGCCTTTTTTAGCTGTCTAATAATTTTTTTTATTTTATCTCTAACAATATGTCACTGTGAGGCTTTTTGTGGGAAGCCTCACAGTGACGTGTTGTACAGAAATACTGAAATCTAATACAAAGAATATATTAAGTGTATAATTTTAGTGGGGATGATGGGAAGGCATTGTTTGCAAACATACTCAGCAAATAAAACTTCTGAGTTAGTGACTTAATTCTCTGGGACTTAATTTGTTCTAGAAGTCCTCAGACACTGAACCCTTTATGAAAAATATTGGTGAAGTATGTTTATTAAAGAAATTGTGAGGCAGAATATGTAGATTAGGATCTTGGGCTGTGTACAACACTGTCTGTGGTACAACCCAGGATAATATAAGGATGGGAGCTGAAGCAAGGCATCAATGTCTATGACTGAAAGGAAAATAAAATGAAAATTGTTGGCTGTATCATAGACTTAAGTGCAGAGATGCTGAAAATTAACAGGACAAGTAACAGAAAAGCTTTTCTAACTCTTGCAGTTTTCTTTTGGTGAGCAGTTATGAGGCTAAATAATTCATATTCATGCAAGTGAAGACAGCCTTCACTCACAAATGAGGAATATACTGCTTCCCTGATGAGCTTTCTTTTCCTTGTGTTTTCAGGCTCCTTCATTAACATATCCCAGATGATAGCTTGTGTAGGGCAGCAGGCTATCAGTGGGTCCCGTGTTCCTGATGGGTTTGAGAACAGATCCTTGCCTCACTTTGAGAAGCATTCTAAGGTAATGCTGGGGGTTTACAACAGACTGTGAAGGAAAGTGGAACAAGTTTCTTGAAACATTTTTGAGGAGACTATGTGATGAAACATGTTGCCATGATATGCTGAAGGAAAAGGATCATATATGGTCAATGTGAAATGTTTTGTGTGATTTGGGAGTTAAAAACAGTGTTTTGAATTGCCGTAGGGTGTCTAGTTAGCTTGACTTTTTACAGCTAATCCTTGCTTTGACCTTTCTAATTTAGTAAAATTAAAGTGAGGTGATGATACAATTTTGGTTCTCTTGATAATCCTAAAAATAATTAGCTAAAGTTTCTCACTGGTGTTACATTTGACTGCACAAATACTTCCCAGGAAAACTGCTGAATGTGTGTTGGTGTCTTTATAAACAGGTGAGAACATGCCAGATCAATCATTCTGGTTTTTCTCTTTTTCCACCAGGATGGCTACCATGGGTTACTCTGTGTTTCATGTTTTGGTCCTACATGAAGCAAGTGACTCTCATGCACTTGTTAATACAAAATTCATCCAGTGGGATGAAATTCTTTTAAGTGCTGTTGGAAAACTAATGAACACTAGTGCAGGTTCTAGGTATGAGCCCATAATCTAGTTTGAGTGTTGGCTAAGTGTCTGATGGTAGCTATGACTCATATGTGACTAATGTCCAAATTGCAACTTCCGAGTTCTGTAACATACTGAATAAGTAGAAAAGGAAACAATATTTAATGCTTTCGATGAGAAGATAAAATGTAGCTCTAGCTATTTTTCTGATTTATAAAGCATTACCTGTTGTTAAATAACAACAAACAGTGATTTTTGACTTGAAGGGATGCCTGTGTAAATTTCATTGGCAAGAGCTTTCCTCAGGGGTCAGGGCAAACCTTTCCAAAAAATTAATTATGTACATATCTCCAGTTGTATTTTTCCTAGCTTCCTTAGTCTTCAGCAAATACCTTTGCACTACTATAGCAAAATGAATATTCTTAATTGCAGTTTCTATTTTTGCAAGTTGAATGGAAGTGTTGGTGTAGTTTTGGGAAGGAATAGCTGGACATGTGGCAAGGAGGAAGGAGCAACTGTGATCAATTAGTTTGGGAGAAGAACAGGCAGGGGTTTCTGAAATCTTTATTCAGGTCTAAAATGCGAATATGGAACTTAAGAGCTAAGCAGAGCTGAGGTCGTTGTTCTGGGTTGGTGGGAATATTGACTAACTTCCAGAAAGCATTTCAAAAATACATGGACCATGTCTTTGTGTAACATACAGAACATGCATTGCATTTTAACTGTGTTTTTCCCACTCTTCCCTGCAGCTCCCTGCAGCAAAAGGCTTTGTTGCCAACAGCTTCTATTCTGGCTTGACTCCCACAGAATTCTTTTTCCACACAATGGCTGGTCGAGAAGGTCTGGTTGATACAGCTGTAAAAACAGCTGAAACTGGGTATATGCAGGTAACTGTCAGCAGATTGAGGGTTTTATCAGTCTGCAAACGTGGATATTTCTCTTGTGCATGTTGAGGTGATGGATCAGGGAGAACTGCAAACCTTGTGTGTTTTCAATGTAAATAGAGTAATTTATACTGTGAAATACATGGCTAGGTCTTCTCCAGGAGGTGTGGAGTTTGTAAACGAGACCTCAGCTAGTGGTACAAGAATATGCTTGTATTAAGCTGTTTCTTCCTGAGTATGGGTAAAAGTCCCTGTTCTGTGCAATTGTTGAGGACTACTTTCTGTGTAGTGTGTTCCTGAACCTGATGTGAGTGATGACAGAAATGCAGCTAAAGCTCCCTTTCAGTGTCTGCCCTCTTGGTAAGAGGGACCTTGGCCATATAGGCTTAGACTGGTTCTGTAACATTTTAGTGTCTTTGGCTGGAAATAAATGTCCTTCCAACAAGGCTTCTTGCTTTTATGTGCAGTCTGAAGATTGCTGTTCCAGCATTTAAGTAGTATGTGAATTATAGCCCTCTTCCCAGTGTAACAGAGAGCAGAAAAGCCAAGATAAATTTGGGCTGGGAACACATTCCAAGATACACAATTAACTGTACAAAGACAGAAAAAAAACACCTTTTGCGGTGGGTGACTGATTAGACCACTTGTCCCCAAAACTAAGGGAATAATCTTGGCATGTCTGCAGGTATTTGCATATATAAAAACATATAAATATAATAAGCAATCTGCAAAATATTTTTACTCTACAACACTCTTCCTATATCAATGAATTGTGACACTTTGACTTTGAAATGTAAAAAAAAAATCTTAACATTTTATCTTACCTTTTTTCCCCACCAGTGAGAAAAAAAGTACCAATTCATTGTCTAGTTTAGGTGATGTAATGTGCTTTCATGGAACATTGAAATCTGTCTTTCAAGTAGAAATGTTTTAACCTAAAATGTTTGATAGCACGCTTTCTTTTGGGGAATGCCAAGGAATATGATAGTTAAGGGATTTCCCAATATAAGGAGTTAATGTAGGAGAAGCAGATAACCCATATAGAAAAATGGCTTTAGCATGTGACCTCTTTGGTTTTTTTCTCAGTGAAAAGAATCATTGAGAGGCTCTGCTTTCATATACAAAAAGTATTGTATCCCTTCAGAAATAAATCTGCTTGGAAGAATATGAGTGTTATGTCAGAAAACCCACCCAAATAAATCCCTCAAACTAGAATAGGTTTTTGCAGCTTAGCCTTAAATCATTAGCTTTTTTATATAATGGAATTGTAAATGTGGAGTATTGTGTTGTTGCATGAAATTTTCTTGACTTGAATGTTCTGTAGAATGTACAGTAAGGCCTGAGGGGTAATACGTGATTTTAAGTAGGTTTTCATGCCTGCTCATCACTGTGTCAGATTTATTTCCCAAGTCTGTTTCTGTGCTTCTTGTATTGCAAATCAACAGCTATTTTTAAAAAGATCCATTTTGCTTTCCTTGTACTTTTTTTTTTCCCTTCAGAGACGTCTGGTAAAATCCCTTGAAGATCTTTGCTCACAATATGATTTAACAGTCAGAAGTTCTACTGGTGACATTATACAGTTTATTTATGGAGGGGATGGCTTGGATCCTGCAGCTATGGAAGGGAAGGATGAACCACTGGAATTCAAGAGAGTTCTAGACAATATCAGGGTAAGGATTGTTGAAATCCTTATTCAAAGTGTGAAAATACTTTTAAGCATGGAGAAGAAAGTAGTAAATAATAGGAAATTTTTTTTTCACTGGAAGTATTTACTTTCAAACTGCCTTTTTTGAATGCTCCTGGTCAGTCTAAGGGTAATAGAGATTTTTTCCAGTGGAAAAGCAGTTTGTGTGCAGAGTCCAAACAGTGTATAAGCTGTGACAAGTAAAATCTTTCTGTGCTTGAAAATAATTTTGTGGCCTAATATCCAGCTCAGTAGATAATTACTACAGGCTTATGTGGGCACTAGTTTGGTACATTGCACAGATTAATTCTCTATTAAATCAAGATATGGATGTTCCTTGAGTTCAGCTGGCAGGCGGTTGGTCAATAATATTGTCATGTTTGAAGACTTGTATTGTTCAGTTTTGCTTTTGTGCTTGGTTGGTGTGTCGTGACCCCTTCCCCCAGAAAAACGCCTTTTGTTGAAGTAACTGTTTAGATTTCTGTAATAGGGGTGTAAAAAATGGGTAGAACTAGAAGTGTCTGGGTGTATACCTTCTGATTTGCCAAAGTAAGGGGGAGTGGATGTGGTCCTTCTTCCCACAGTAATCTGATATATAGTGTAGAAAACCAAAACCAACCAAAAAAACCCGTTAAACTAGCAACAAAAAGACACAACCAGAAATAAAGAATGCTGTTATTCAGTTCTGTCTGTGTTCTGTGTCTTTGCAATGGTGTTTTTGTGCATGTGCTGTCTGTGGATAACTCATGTTTTTTCCTGTGAAGGCTGTCTATCCATGCCGAAGTGAGCCAGCCCTTAGCAAAAATGAATTGGTGTTAACATCTGAGTCCATCATGAAGAAGAATGAATTTCTTTGCTGCCAGGACAGTTTTCTGCAGGTAATTATCTCACTTCCTTATCACACTGTAATTAACTTTTCTTTAGGATTTAAGCACAGGACTTTAGCCTGTCTGGAGACTACTTACATGGCTTTTAAGGGTGAGTGAAGGTTCACCTGGCTGCTTATACTTTGAATTCAAAAATTTAATCTGTTTGAAAGAGCACTGGGCAATTTAAATATTTATGAGAGCAACCACTCTCAAGACTTCCTTGAGAATCACTGATCAAAGCTGTGGAATTAACCTGCCTGTAGAATTAACCTTACATCTATATAAAGCTGTTACCTTGATCAACCTTCTGATTACTGGCAGTGATGAGAAAAAATTCATTTCATGACCTGTGTTTGAAGAGTTTCTTTTTAATAGATCAGAGTGTTTCAGAGCACAAGGTAAACCTGAATTGCGCTTCCATTGATAGAGTCAAATTATATCTGTATTCGAAATATGCTGTAAATCTTAACTGCAAGTCTGAAGGAAAAGAAATCAAATAATTCAATATTAGAGTTTGTGGATAAAGCTGGTTTTTAAGTATACGTATTTTAAATAATATAATGAAAATTTAAATAATTGTTATTAATTTCAGAAGCACAGATATGGCTACATCACCTTAGTGATAATTAGCTTAAGATTTTTTAAGTTTTAGATAGTTACATTTTCTTCTTTGCTTTTTTTTTTTCTTCATCCTTGAAGACATTAACTGAGACAGGTTATGAAAAATATAATGAGGTAATCATAGCATGTGTGTGCCCTGTGTGAGCATTAATGTTAGTGCTTTCTAGCTAGAGATGTGTGTATAGTGCTAAAGTAATTGATTAGCATATATACATTATTGCTTGCTAAATTATGACATAGGTGTTCATCACAATTATTTAACTTAATGTGAATACTGTGACATGTTAATACCCATTGATAAATTCAAGGGTTTTGAGGAAGCTTTCTTTCAGTACTTGACACTTTTTCCTGGAAGCCATTCATTTACTCCCTAGAGATATGAGCATGTTTTTCTGATGTTTTTCTTTCCCTTCCTCCACTTTTCCATTCCAGAACAGAGATGCTTCTTAGTGCTGTTATTTTAGCCAGAGGTTCCTGTAATGGGCTTATCCAATCCAGTCTAGAACACAGTGTGTCTAAAGAGCCAAAAAAGTACTTTTTCTGTGCTTTTTTTGAGATGATGGAATAAAAGTGCTGTGAATGTGGTGCAAACACACCAAAAGCTCAGCACACAGCCAGTCAGTGCTGCCCCATGCAGAGTTGGCCTCCTGGGTGTGCCTGAAGTGGAGCAGATTTTGCTGAGTCTCGTGGCATTGTCTGTGCCACTGTGCATTCCAGTGGCTTCTTCACTGCATGGATTGCCATGCAAGCAATGCTTCTGGTGTGTGAGTGACCCCACTAACCTGGCTGCTGGACACCTGATGCAAACCCTGAACTGCCCTTTGGCCTGGACAGCCAGGAGGAGCTGGCAAGGCCTGTGTTGAGCCACATCTTACTGAGCCCGTTTGGTGCCTCTTCGTTAATCTGGTCCGGACTAAGACTTCATGGATTTAGAAGCTGTGAAAAAAAATCAGGGGTTTTTTGAGTCCACTCTGGAAGTTACATAGCTGTGCTCACAGTGTACAGTGTTGCACTAAAGATAATAAATCCAGAGAGAGACAGAGCTAGGCTCAGCAAAGAGTGAGCTACAGTTTCATTCCATTTGTAGCAAAAATTAATCCATTAACCCACCCAAATACCCAGTTGGGTAAACTGCCAACATATACTTGAAAGCTGAGAAGAATAAGTAATTTCCTCTTTTAGGTCTTCTGCATGAATAAAAATTTGTCAATAAAAAATAAGTTTTCAGATATTTATCTTCTACCTTTTTCTACCTTTTTTGACTCTGGTCTATGGAAATAACATATAATTTGATTACCTTATTCAAAATTATATGTAATAACTGATTTATTGTGTTGGAGTTGTTTGGATTTTTTAAAGCACTTGGGAACTCAGGCACTGTCAAAGAGGACAAGTCTTCTGCAAGTCCTGCAACATTGCTTTTTTTATGCATGTGTAATGAAAAGGTTAACCTGTCTAATTCTGTGTTATTGCCTAAACATTTATTTTAGGAAAAAAAATCACATTATTAATTTTTTGCAAATATGTTGGGGTCAAAAGCCTTTAAAATGTCCAAGTATATTTGTGAATAATGCTACTTACTGCAGGGCAGAAAAAAGGGGCAGAAACATAAGAATACATCCTGTCATCCAAGTGGGGAAGCAACTTTGGAGCATCTGTTCCAGCAGCACTTCTGTTGTCTGTTCTTCCTTGTGAACTTGGTTCTGGTATTCACAGAAAAAAATGTTCTTTCTGGAAGTACCTTGAGTGTCAGTAAGAATGTTATTTTTGAGAGAGAATTCTGGTAGAATGTAATAGAAATGTTTTCATAATGTTTCTATGAACTCAGCTGTGGAAAAAACAAATAGCAGTCCCTCAGATACTTACTCATTTTTGCAAGTATTTGCCAGTGCTTAGCTGACTGTGCTGGTTGCAAGGAGTCCAGTACCTAGTGCAGAAGAGGCAATACTGTGTGACCATCACTCTGTTAGGTAGGACTAATGGGGTAGAAAAGGTTTAAAAGGTCTCCAAAAAATCAAAGTATTTGTTTCTCTATGGAGGCTTTCCTAAATCATGGTTTAAATAGATGGGAAGGATTTCCTCTTGCTTTTTGTTTATATTTTGGTTTTGATAATCTGTGTTAGTGATCATGACTTGCACCAAGTCCACATTTGTGGAAGAGTTTAATCATGGATCTCATATTTCATGACTTCCACTGTACATGTATATGTCCAATGTGTAATGACCAAATAATCTTGTACAGAATAAATGTTGGATATTTTTCTAACAGTATTGTTTCAGTTTGTGCTCCAGTAAAGACTATTAGAACTTGTTTTGGGTAAGCCTGGTAAGAGACTGAAAGGTCTATGTAGTATGACCTGTTAAATGCAATTATCTTCAAGACCTCTCCGCAGCTTGGAGGAGTTATTTGAATCATATTAGGGAATCATATTATATACGTGTGTATATATAATAGTTCTGAGGTTTGAGGTTTCTTCTATCAAAGAAAGTGCACCTCAGATCTCTGATATATATCCAGCGGATATACTTCATATACTTCTTCTCTTGCCACAGTCGTTCCATTTTGACTATTTTGAATAGTGAGGGTTGAGTGAGAATGTATTTGTGTCAGTATTGCCAAGAAATAAGAATTTTGAGGTGGTGTTTGAGTTTTTAAATCACTTTCAGTAAGTGGGGGGTAGGAAGGGTCAGCCCAAGTCAGCTATCTTCCCCTGTCAGTGTGTGCTCAGGAAGGATGCTTTTGTTCAGCATGGACCACAGTCTTCATGTCCTGCTACTGATTTGTGGCTACACCAAAGTGGATCTGGATTGCTAAACTCTAATGTATGTGTTTGTCTGATTTTTGATGCTCTTCTCTTCATACTGTGCATTATAAACTTATTGTAAATATTTGGAGCTTAAAGTAAATAACTTACTATTCAAGACTTCAATATGGACACCACGTCTTTGCTTACTGTGGTTTTCTATGATTTCAGGAAATTAAAAAATTCATCAAAGGTGTTTCTGAGAAGATAAAAAAAACTAGGGACAAGTATGGAATTAATGACAATGGCACAACAGAGGTAAATAATTTCAGTGTGGTAATGATGTCATTCTTTTCCATCTTCATAAGTTGCTGCTTTTCCAACTATTCCATTCTTTTTTCAGCCAAGAGTTTTATATCAGTTGGATAGGATTACTCCAACACAACTAGAGAAGTTTCTAGAGACTTGTAGAGACAAATACATGAGGTGAGTGTTTACCCTGCTGTGTTCTCAGTGCTGCTGTTTTGTTGGTAACATCTGGGTGTATTTTGCTGTCTTACTGTATGAATGTTGGTTCTGTTGTGAATGCAGTACAAAGAATTAGAAACAATTGGCTCCAATGACATAAACATTGCAAGACAAAGGTAGGATGCAAAAAAAAAAAAGCATCACTGTCTGTGGGTGGGCTTGTTGAGACAGTGTCTTGCACAGGAGTTCTAGAGATCTAACAGGTGGGACTTCTACGTTTGTCTTGAGTCAAAATCAGATCTTTCATTAACAAACTTTGGTGTCCTTTTACATTGTAAAAAATGCTTTATGTTTCATTTTATGTTTCTTGAGCATGCAAAGCTACCTGCTTGTGTTTAAGCAGCACCTTCCTTCTGAAGTAATAGTAATCATACCAACAAGCAGTTTTAGCATTTAGCTACTCATTACTTATACCCACAGACTGTGTTTTGACAGCAAATTCTGGTAAAAGCCAAAAGTGATAGGATTCAGAGTAAGGGAGGATATTGTTTAAACACTTCACATTCTTACACCCACTGCCAGACATGCTTCTTTCCTCCCCCTCTTGCAGGAGGTTTTTGAAAACCTTCAATGAGTCCATGCAGAACAAAGTCTAAATAGATGAGTTTCAAATTCAAATGAATCTTGATAGCTATTCTTGATCTACACAGTCTGAGGAGTTATATCACACTTTATTCTTAAAATGTTATTTGTCTTATGCACTCATTGGATCCTTTTGTTTGTTATTCTTGGCTTGTACCAAGATAATGCTGGGGTTGATGTTCTAATCACTTTATCCATTGAGATTAATTTCATTTCCTTAGACTTTTGGATTTGGTGATCTCTCCTTTGTGGCCTACCTGCATCAATTGTTTCCTAATGTTTTATTCTTGTAGAAAATTCATGTATATATTAAGTTCTTAACTATTTTAAAGCAATTACCAGTTTTTTGCTTTCCCTCATTAGGAGTACTGGTTTACATTTGTCTTAAGTGTTTTTATATGCGAATTATCACTTTTACTATAATAAGTAAATGTTAGCATATGGTATTTCCCTGAAGGGAAAATGCTGGATCTAGTGCTTGATGCTTAGGAGGAAGAAGACAAGCATTTTGTAATCTGTAATTGAAGTTATACTGAATCTTAGTATAAGATTCAGTAAGAAGATGTCCTGTCATATATATAAGGAGATCTTCTTGCTTTTTATGAGATCAGTCTTAAAGTATTGGTGGCCTTTTAACTGCTCTTGTTTTTTTTTTTTTTGACTAAACTATGTTAGCAAACTTCTCATATATCTACCAGAATAGTTCCTGTTGCTGTTTGCTTAGGATCTCATACCTTATTCAGTTCCATATCTCTCTTTCTATGTTTTTTTTTTTTTAATCAGGGCACAGATGGAGCCTGGTTCTGCAGTAGGAGCTCTTTGTGCACAGAGCATTGGTGAGCCTGGCACACAGATGACTCTGAAGACTTTCCATTTTGCTGGTGTTGCTTCAATGAACATTACTTTGGGTGTGCCAAGAATCAAAGAAATTATTAATGCTTCAAAGGCTATTAGGTACAAATATTGTCTTGATCTGTTGGGGCTTTTTTTTCCCCTTTGCCCAAGTGAAACCTAATGGGCAAATTTGCAATACATGATAGCATTTCCCTGTCCTGAGCAATATACTAGACACCATTCAATGCAAATACCTAAACAAAAATCTGATGTCTGCCCAACTGTGATATTTAAGCCCACAGAGAAAAATCAAATAAAGGAAAAAGATTATTTGTTAAGTATAATATTTCCTTAGACTTCTTAGCTATTGTGAAGTGCTCTGGTGCTTAGCAGTACTTGAGGCATACCTATTTCTAGGTGTGCATGAAGCCATGCTTAAATAATACTAGAATAACATATGCCATGAAAGCAGTCACTAGTATTTGTGTGTTTGCTTGTTTTTACCAGCCTGAAGTACCTGAACAGTAATTTTTCTTAAATACACCTGAGGAAGCTGTAGATCTCTTTATTTTACTAAATACTACTCTAGATAAGAGAGGAATTCCTTAAGGCAGGCTGTAATTCAAGTTGCCATCTCTACTCTAGCTGAGCAATTTCCTACCTGGGTTTTCATGTGTGTGTTTATTCTTGTAGCACCCCTATTATAACAGCACAGTTGGACAAAGATGATGATCCTGATTTTGCCCGTCTGGTTAAAGGAAGAATTGAGAAAACTTTGTTAGGGGAGGTAAGAAAATTGTATTATTGCTAATGCTTTAAATGTATGCATTAGCCAATTGCAATGCAACTGCCAATGGCAATTTTAGCCATTTATGCATGCTAATTGTTTTGTCCTTGTCTCTTAAAGATTTCTGAATATATTGAGGAAGTGTTTCTTCCAGATGACTGTTTCATCCTAGTGAAGCTGTCTTTAGAGCGCATCAGACTGCTGAGATTAGAGGTGAGTTGTTCAGTTCTTACAGATTATACCTTGGATACATTACAAAGGGTGTCATAATCCTGTGTCAGTAATCACAGCAGGGGAAGCTAAAAAAAAAGAAAGTGAATGTAGATGTTGTGTGGCTACATTACATCTGGAAGGGTCTCTTGTATTTTTTCCTTGCAAAGTGGATCATTTCCCCTTTATTTGGAAGTGAGAGAACATACTCTGGTATGGTGTTTTGCTAAACACAGGGATGCCATTTCTGTCCATTGGTTCATGTACAGGCTGGTACCCTCAGCCTAGGATACTATTTCATGCAATTTATAAGTCTAATTTAGAAGAGAATATTTGGGGATTTTCCCCCTACATTTTTCCTTTTTATAACCTGTTGAAAGATGGCTCCATTTATCTGAGCACGTTGATAGCTGCTGTGATAACCCTGATGTTTGCTGGCTGCCTTTTGGCGCAGGTGAATGCCGAGACCGTGCGCTACTCGATTTGCGTCTCCAAGCTCAGAGTGAAGCCTGGGGATGTTGCTGTGCATGGAGAAGCAGTTGTGTGTGTGACCCCTCGTGAAAATAGCAAGAGTTCCATGTATTATGTATTGCAGTCCCTCAAGGAAGAGCTACCAAAGGTAAAAGCCAAGGCTGTCTCATGCTTTTATAGGAGGTAATCAGTAGTAATAATTAGGTCCATGGTGGCAAGATGAAATAATTCTTGTCAGTATTGACAGTGATGATAGGCCGGGTCAGTAACTCAGATTGTGATGGTACTGCCTTGCTGTTGAAACTAAGCCATCCTTTACTAATATTTGTAAATAAAATGGAAGCTTTGATATTTTCCTTACAACATTTATTGAAGCATTCCAAGTGCAGCAGTTTTATGAAATAGTTACATCTGCTTTCAGCTGTATCTAAAATTGAGCCACATGACACTATCTGGCATTTTTTCAGCTTACTGTGAGGAGACTCTCTACTCTGGGTTTTAAAAACAGAGGTAAGGGAACCTTTATTGTTAGCAGTTTGCCCTTTGGTTTGTATGGGTCTGCCACCATTCAGACATGCAAACCAGGGTGTGGGAATGTCAGACATAAAATATAAAATGTAGCTAGTGAGTAAGGTTTGTACTACAGTGTCAGTTTTGCACTAGAGTATTTAAGAGCAAGAAGTCTTACTCATATGTGTTTTGAGTGAGCCTTTACTCCATGTACTAGATCTTCTCAATAGATTTGAATGCTGCTAAGTGTTACCCTTTTTACTGTGTTACTGCATATATCAGTTACTAGGGCTTTTTTGTTTTGTGAAGGTTGTAGTGCAAGGCATACCAGAGGTTTCCCGAGCTGTCATTCATGTTGATGAACAAAGTGGAAAGGAAAAATACAAGCTTCTGGTTGAAGGTGATAATCTACGAGCTGTTATGGCTACTCATGGAGTGAAAGGAACAAAAACATCCTCTAACAACACTTATGAGGTAATGTCTGAATGAGGTGCTGTGGGGTTTCCCCTGTAGCATCTTTATTACAAGTGCTTGGTTGTGCTCAGATGCAGCAGTTGATATGGAATGAAGCCTGATTCCACTAATACATGTCAGAATGCATTAACACAAGAGACTAATTCACTGGCAGCACTGTTCACCACAAAGAAGCTGTTTCTATAAATATTTTTTAAATGGAGAAGTTTAAAAGAGTAGCCATAGAAATGGAATATCAGCATGCTGTCAGATGGTATTTATTCCAGGAATGTACTTGCTCCAAACAATTGATTCTTCATTCATGTAACATGCAACAATCATGTAACAATCTCTTGTGTAGGTAGAGAAAACTCTGGGGATTGAAGCTGCTCGGACAACGATTATCAATGAGATTCAGTACACAATGGTGAACCATGGCATGAGCATTGACAGGAGACATGTCATGTTGTTGTCTGATCTAATGACTTACAAGGTTGGTACTATGGTTTTTCTAAATCTTACATTGGCCTGTTCAAACAAATTAATTTTGTCATGTTTGAGAATGTTGGGTGAGCTCAGGAGATGGAAATTCATTCTGGGCTTAAGGAATTCCAAGTTGTACTGACTTAATATTATTTGTGTTTTACACAAAATGCTTAATTACTCTAGTTCTTTGGGCAAGGGTGGAACTCTTTTGACTGAAAATTAATTGATATAATGAGTAGGGAATGATAATTTCATAATGGAAAATAAGAATGCTAAACATGATAGTGTGAAAAACAACTGTTTGGGTAGCCATGCATGCAGTTTAAGACTTGCTGTGCAAAAAACCCCACAGGGAGTGGTTTGTAACAGCTGCACCATGTGAGAGGCAAAGGATACAGACATTACACATAGAATCAGATGACATGAACAGTCTTACACAACATGTTAGTACAAAATCATCTGCTCTTTACTGATTGATTTTCTTTCTTTCACATCCAATATGGTTTTTAGGGTTGAGCACAGTTAGTGAAGTGAGATTTTGCAATTTGCCTGCCAGAGTGCAAGGGTTTAATTTGGGTGAAATGGATGGAGTTCTGATTTGTTCCCAAACTGCAGAGCTTTGTACTGAGCAGCAGCAGTCCCCAGGGCTGTGACCCTGTGAAGCTGCAGCACAGCAGTAGAAAAGGGCATCAAAGTGCCATGTTTTAAACTTGGTGGGCTCCTACCATGCATTCTTTTGCCTGTACTTAGGCTTCTATGTGCTATCTGATATAATTAGGATGTTTCTAAGAAATAAGAAACAAACAAGTCAAGTTAGTTTAAAAAGCTGATTACCTTTTTTTCTGGAGAGTGAAAAAAATGAAGATTTAGCATCTTCTGTAGTCTCCTGGCAGCTGAGGTCAGATTTATCTGTAGATAATAGGCAGTAGATTCAGCATAGTGCTCTCAGACCCCACTGCATTTTGTAGTTCAGCAGCCATTTTATAATTGTGGAGTTTTTTCTCATGGCCATTTTTCTTTCAATTTGTTCAATACTCAAGATCTATTCAAGAGCTATTAGCCATTTATACCAGCTTCTATTGTATAGAAAGTGTGGTTTTTGTTTTATGTAAGTATTCATTACAACCAAATGACTAACCTTCAGGATGTTCAACTGTGAATCAGTGTATTATGACAGTACTGTATTGTAGATAGCATATTTATTTATTTACTCAGGCTTACTCTTTGGGTTTTTCCATCAATCAAGGGTGAAGTTCTGGGCATTACCAGGTTTGGACTGGCAAAAATGAAGGAAAGTGTGTTGATGCTGGCTTCTTTTGAAAAGACTGCAGACCATCTCTTTGATGCTGCCTACTTTGGACAGAAGGATTCTGTTTGTGGTAGGTATTGCCAAGTGTGTTACAGTTTTTGGTCCTTACCCAGCATCTGTAAAACCTCTTCAAAGCATCTGTCTTTGTTAAGCTTCCTGTTCAGCTGCTATGTCAAAAACTTCAGGCTAAGTTCAGGCTTGAGGCTAATTCATTCTAGAAGTCCTGGAAGTTTGTTGTGTTCCTCTACTTATCATCTCAGACTGAGATCTTGAAGTCAGTTGGATATTTGTTGGATGTTTCTTGAAGTAGACTTTGAGTAATTCGGTTTTATTTCTCACCCTAGATCTCAGTGAAATACCAGGAAATTTGTCTCACTATCAATAATTCTGGTTTTCCAATTGTGAAAGTTTTTTTATCTTCAACACCTAGAGCTGTTGAATAAATCTAGTACCTCACTCAGTATTTAGGTTTCATTTTCATTCCTGCTAAGTAGGGGGACAGGTACATCTCAGCCTAGCTGAAGATGATACTCTTACCTAGTAGCTTAGGTCATTTAGCACTTGTACCTAGAAATAACCAGAAGGGCCAAGTTCTTCACATCTTCATTTAGTTCTAATCTAATATTGTGGGTCTTTGTTTTTTTCATCAGAAGTCTTGTTTATCAGTATTCACATCATTAACAGCAGACAGGATACTTGTTGTCAGAAATTTCTTTTTAAATATATCTGTTCCTGAGTTTTAAATTTAAGTACATTAGCAGCCACTGAATCATCTTACTGAGTTCATGAAAGAATCTGCTAAATTTTGAAAATATATGGCTGCATATGCTCAAGTGTATGCATGCCCACATACATACAGCAAACAGAAAACCCAGTCAATGGCATTCTGTTTGTCTCTTTCTTTTGTATTTTTGTCATGTGCTCAGATATTTGGAATTGAAATAATTTTGGGGTTTTGTAATGCCTTTGCCCCCATTCTTTTCAGATACTCTTCTCCTTTAAGCTACATGTATTTTGGGACTGAATTATTAAAAAGTTTGTCTAATAGGTTAAATGGAGAAAAGAAGTAAAGCAGGTTTCACTCTTTCCAAGATCTGTTTATGCAATACCTACCCTCCTGGAGCTGAATTGGGAGTTTCTGGGTACTAATGAAATAAAGAAATATGCATGTGTTATGCAAAAGTTAACTAGTTAACTAGATATATCTTGATGGTCTTAGTGTAGCCAGTTGCAAGCAGTGCTCTGTGCACAGTATTTTCTGAATCTTCATTTGTGTACATTCAAGCTGTGAATCAAGTCAGAATTTTAATCCAGTTTATTTCATCCTTTCTGCATTCAAATGTACAGCTATTTATTGTTACCTTCTTAAACATTTATGTGAATAACAGTTGAGTTATACTCCTGAGAATGTGCAAAAATGTCATTTAGATCATAACAGCATGCTTAGAGAGAAACACTGATATCTGAGAGCTTGCTTTGAGTGTGGAACGTTCGTTCTTTGGAAAAGTCGTGCACATTGGTAGATCTGGAATATAAATGTGTCAGCACATTGCACTGGAAATGTTATAACCATCAAAAATCATTGGGACAGACTCAGTCTTTCACTTCAAAACAAGCACTTTTTGAGTGGTGAAAATGCCAGGAGCGTTACAGCTCAAGTAGTTCTGTGCCTTTCTCACTGGGAACTTGGGGAGGTTTCAAGGGAGCCCTGCCAGGTTTGACTGAAGCCTTAGCACTGAGTCAGAGAATGAACATGAAGTAAGTTTGCCTTGCATCTTCTGCTATGAGCACTGCATGGGACATTTCTTCTCTAAAAACAAACCTTCTGAAGGGCTTCATTACTGGGGAAGATGTTTAGGTTAGGTTGAGTTTGTCCTGTAGAATTTAACGCTGTTAAGTAACCTACTGGTCTGATGACCATGACATTTAACTTTGTCTAGTGAAGAGGCCTTGGTCCTCACCTGTGGAGTTCAAGCACTTGCCCATTCTGTTTTGTAGGTATCACAACACAGAATGGGCAAATGAAAGTAGTTTTGTAAATCCTTACTGTTCTAATGTTCACTGTGTTTGTTTTGTTTTTTCCTAGGTGTTTCTGAGTGCATCATCATGGGAATTCCAATGAATATTGGGACAGGTCTCTTTAAACTGTTACACAAAGCAGACAAAGAATCAACCCCTCCCAGGAGGCCTCTGATATTTGATCATAATGAATTTCATATTCCCATTGTTACATAGCACTTGGACAGAAAACAAGATAGCAAACATTATTTAAATTAAGCAAAGTGTATTATTGGTTCTATGTGTCTCATAGGGAACTGGTAAGTGAAATTATATCAAAAGAATTGCCCAAATGTTCACCACCTGTGGTTAGTACTGACCCTGAAAGAGAGAGTGCCCCAGAGAGTGGAAACAAATTTAAAGTGGTTTTCACCTGATAACATTTTCATGTGACAATGTTAGCTTTTGTGGTTACCCACAGTGGGTACAAGCTGTTATTAACTCAATATTTATTTAATGTATGTTCAGATTTTATTAAAAAACAAATGAGATTTGCAAGAGAGTTCTGTGAGCTTGCCCAGAATGCTTTTGGAAGTGTTCTTTCAGCAGGAGCTGCAGAGGTCAGTCTACAGCTTTTAAGAACAGAAACTTCAGAAAGCTGGAACTGAGTCGGTGATTAATTCATCATGAGTTCAGGAGCACTGTTCAAAGTGTTTGAAATCCTTCTCTTTGCTTTTCATAGCTTCAATGAGTTTTTCTTTATCCCAGGTTATTAGCCAGTAAATTATTTTCCTCCCCAGGATTCTGTTTGGGGACCGTATCTACAAGAAGCTGTACTTTATGGATGCTACTAAATTCTGAGAAGACTGTTGTAAGAATATTGCAAGTTATAGATAGTTTTCCATATGACAGCAACTGTATTAACTGCTGGAATCAGTAACTTAGAGCAGTCCTAGTTTTGGGAAGGTTTCCTAATTGAGCAGGATCATTGAGCAACCTACTTGGATTTTATTATATAGAGTACAAACTGAATGGATGCTGTTTTTATGCATTGCCATGAAATAATTTGGAAGTATTTTTAGCTGTAGTTCACTGAAGCAGTTATCAGAATGAATATAGAGCTCAAATCATTTCAGTGTAGTATGTTTAAATTTATTGTGGTGCTATGGAGGGAAAGTACAGTAGTGTTTTCTCAGCAGTGTTTGGATACTCAGTGTGCTCATGACATGGGTCAAGGTTGAAGAGAATAAGTAAAGGAAAAAGCTGAAGTTGTCCCCTCATGAAGAAAAAGCAGGCTGCTGAGTATTCTAGCATTTGAAAATGAACAAGATTTGCTGCAGTTTGTCTTTATGTCCACCAAAAGTGTAAGGCTACATTCAGAGACTGTAAATCTATTGGTCTAAGTCTTCAGGTGCCACTGTGTCTCTTTTTTAATTCATCCTCCATGCAGACAAGATCTCATATGAAGTTCAACACAGCTATTCTCAAATTATTTTGTGTTTTCGGTGTGATGCTAAGATCTACATTTGCCTAGATTTTGGCAGGATGAAAATGGAGAATGCAGTGCATTTACTATCTGCTCTAAAAGTTACATATATTTTGCTATCTCTGTTTTAGCAATAGAAATTTCAGATTAAATTCAAGTTTTCTTTGTGATCTCAGTGAGATTGCCACTTACTCATTTGTCTATTTCTTTGTCAAGATGTAAATTTAACATGGGTAAAGGCTTCATGGAAAGAAAGCCCATAAACCTTTCCTGGGGTTAAGTACTTGGTTTTATCAGGGGAAATTCTACTGATAGTGCTTGACGTTTTTGTGAATAAAGATTCTTTTCAAGGTCTAAATGGGTGGAGTTTGTACTGGAAGAAATAACCACATCTTTTCCTTTTTCCATTTTTTAATTGGTTGGGTTTTTCATTTGGTTGGTTTTGATATTTGGGTTTGGCTGGTTTGGGGGTATTTTTGGTTTGATCTTTTGTAAATATAGAAAAATTAGCTACTTAAAAGCTGGGTTTACTTTCTGGTGTATTTTAAAATTAAGACTAAGATTACATCTTTTATCGTTGTCTTAAATATGACAATAAAAAGAGGCAGAGGTAAAGAATGTGTATCCCTTGTGTTTATTTATGGGTATATTCTATTTGCATAATGTATTTATGAATGAGCTAACCTCTATTTCTTTGTGTAGTTAGTTAGACAGTAGAGAATTATTAAGCTTAAATCTCAGGTGTTTATAACATAAATGAATAAGTAATATGAAACCTATCTTGCATAAAGCCACTATGTCTTGTCCTCAGAGCATGCTCTGAGCCTCATGAGTGTTTCAACCAAAAATAGATTGTTTACAAGAGCACTCTGAATTAGTAATTATTGTTTGAGCTCTCTGTACAGTCAGTAAACAAATTAGCTGTTGGATTTTACTCATAAGCAGCTTTTTTAAGCATCAGTTTTAACAGTCAAGAAATGGAACTTTGGAGTATTAAAATTTGCGTTTTGAATAAAATTTTTAGCCTTAGTTTGGGTTTAATTTTTTTTTAAAAATACTATTTTTACACTTTCCTCTCTTTTCCAATTAATGTGCTAATTAAAATTAGCTAAGTGTAAATTTTCAAGAAATAATTTTGATTTTGAATATCTGTATCCTGCTTTCATTTTTTCCATCTGTTTTAAAACAAATTTAGCCTTTTTAATAAATGAAGCACTTTGTTGGTGTGTTTATCAGGAAACTACTTCAAACACATCTCCTATCTGCAGAGAGAGAAGAAAACAGCTGTGTGTGCTAAATAGGTTTTCTGTTATGACTATTGAAAGTTGGAAGTAAATCCAGAACTGTGCTGCTGTGGTCCATAACTTGAAGAAATTCAGTATAGAGGGCTATTCCCTTTTTTGCTTATCTATGCTTAAAGAAGAAAAGCGAAGGAAAGCAGATGAATGCTGTGTTTTATAAATTAACTGCGAGTAGATAAAATTGGTTGTTTCAGGACAAAGATTCCTTGATGTCTGAGCTTTTGTCACTGTTTCAGTAGAAGTTGAAGGAATCACTGCAGTAGGAATGCCTCAGTTTTGTATCACTGTGCCTGTAGACAGCAATGTCTTTAGAAGCCCATAGCAAACAGGATACAGTTTTTCATAGTTTTTGCATATTTGCCTAAATTATTCTGTGCCAGTAACTAACCTATCTTCAAAGTGGTTGGCTAAGCTTTGAATTCAGACCTAGGAAAGTCTATTGGTAATTCAGTATGTTCAAAAAATCAAAAGCAATTGGCTTATTGTTACATTGTCTAAGAACAGACAGTCTGAAAGGGACCAAATTAAAAGATATGTTAATATTTTAATGCACCACTTCTTGGCAGGTTATTTAGATGTGATTATGGTTCTGATATAAATGCATAGCAAATTTATCTTTAAGAATGAGTACCAAAATCTCACAGGCCAATCCAAAAGAGTCATAGAAAGCAAACAAGCCCTGCTACTTTTGTGTTTCAGTGCTTGTGAAAATGAATCCAAATTTCGTGTGACTGTTAAAATGAGAATTGTGTAACATTCCTTCTAATGGAATTAGGTCACACTATCATCTTCCACTAGAGAGCAGCGTTTTCTTTTGAGGAAAGAGGTATTGGGTAGCTTATTTTTTTCTATTGAAAATGGGGTTTTTGCTATATCAGGACATAACTTTCCCTATCACAGTTACATTTATCTGTTAAGGTGATGTACCTAAGGAAGGAGATGAAGGGACTGTATTTTCATAAGAGGGAGAGAGTGGAGTCCACATATGCTTTTTCATTAATTAGTAGAATTTTCACTTTCATATCACTTGTCTATCTGGCTTAAAAAACAAACACCCAAAAAGCAGTACTTCAGTAAAGGCTATAATCATTCCCAAAAGTGTGTCATGAGCTACTCCTGCAAAGTGACAGCGCAGGAATCTGCAGTGGGTGGGGACATGCCTTTTGCAGCAGCATTTTCCATGCAGCTGAGCTTGTTCCAGTCTGCATTCAGCCTCTCCAGCAGGCACTGAAATGCAGCTGCCAGAGCTGCTCTGAAGTGTGAAGTTCTGGCAGCTGCCTCCAGAGTGTCTCACATCCTTCAGCTGCTGCACAACTCCAAGGCAAGGCTGCATTAAAAACATTTGAAGGTGATGCTATTGATGCAAGAGACCAATGGTTAGGACTGGAAATAACATTAAACAGGTGATCTTTGTGTATAGACAGCTGCAACCAGCAAGATTTCTGGAAGATGACTTCCACATGAATATCTGAAAGCCATAAGGATGCCTGTAGTTTGCTAGTTCCTGTTGGATTTGTGAGAACCTGGCATTGGCTGGCTATGCATAGGAGTTGTGTGGGCCTTGAGCTGCTCTGATACTGCATTGCTTTAACCACCACCTTTACTTCTGTGTGCATCAGATGGTAAAAGGTGTCTCTTCATCCAAGGGGTCTGTCCTGGAGTCCAAGCCTTCAGGATCAGGAATAATTGCATGCTCCTTTCAGAACCTAAGACAGTAGATAGGACTGATGATGTACAAAAAATGGTGGTTTCTGCAGGTGCTGAGGATAGAGGGAAGAAAACTGAAAAGACAGGAGATGCAGAAATAAGCAAGTGTGTGTGGAAATGGAGTAGGAATTCAGGTCTGCTTGGGGAAGAAACAGAGATGGCAGCTGGGTCAAGTGACACACAGATACTCATAATCTCTTTATGGAGTCCTAGTGAAGTATTGGAAATAGCTGGGAAAAGGGCAGGTATTTATTCATTCCTGAGAACTACAATTTTGTCATTTGTCCTGGGGATTGCTTTTAGTGGCTGTGACAAATGGTAGTTAAATCATCACTAATTTTGTAGATGACTGTTAATAATGAGCAGTAACCCTGAATTAAATCCTTCAGGTATTGTATCTGTTTAGTTATAAAGCTCTTTCAACCAACTGTGCATAATTACAGCTGCTGAACTACAGTGATTGCTACTGTTAAGTGTAAAAACTGCTGTTCCTGATGGGTTCTGGTACAGCTCATGTGGAAAATTGTAACTATAATTAGCAGGCAAATAGCAATCTTTTAAAATGTGTTAATACCTGCAGTTAGATCAGAAATATTCCTAGAAAATCCTTAGCTGAGGTGTTTTTAATAAGATGTAAGTTGTGCTACTGGGACAAGAGACAGAAATTACATCAATTACTTTCAATTACAAATTACATCAGTTCCTTTTGTGTGTCTCTTCCTAGAAGAGAGGTGACAATATATATGAAGAACAGACAGGTAATTC